TTATTTTACATTCTTTCACTGAACGTCATCACGGCATACAAAATGAGATTTCCTATCCATAATACACAGTAAAGTGACTTAATCATACACACACATATATAAATAATTCCCTGTCATTTCCCACCCTCCTCCCACACTGTCTTTGGTATTTACAGTTGCTTTCCATTCCTCCCACCCATTTTATTAATTCAAAAAATACCTTAATTAATCTAACTACTTTCAGTAGCACGTTCAGCTGATATGTACATATCTGCGAACACATGTCTGACTTTAGGCATGAAACTCTGAGTAGAATGCATATAACATAAAGTAGCACCTAGCTGAGGCTATATAGCTTACTGCGGTCATTAAATAGGTATTTTAAAATATACTTTTTAATTTCAAAAAAGGCAGTTTTAACTTTAGTAAATCAAAATAAAAAAATATTAAGAGAACTTTGCTTAAGACTTAAAACCAGGAAACAAGTTAGGATTCTGTTCAAGTAATAGGTACATGAACCTATCAACAGCTCAAGAGAAGACAAAAGCCCTTGAATCTGGAAAATAAAACAGAAAAAATCAGTAATGTTTTAGTCAAAAGTCATAAGATTCGGGGCCAGCAGTTAGCGTAATGGCTATGTCACAGGACTCCCACGTAGTCAACTGCGGTTCATGTAAGGAACCGGTGGCTTAAAACTCACGCCGGGCGCCTATGCGTGCGTGCCCAAGATCCCGAGAGGAGAATGGAGCAGAAGGGATTGTGATGTGGCCATCTCCCCTGGGGGGTGATTTCTCGCTTTCTGTCTCTCTCTCTCTGTCTGGAGAGCGCATGTGCCCTATAGCAAAAACCTCTAAACAACAAACAAACAAAAAAAGTCATAAGATTGTATTTCACCAGTTCAGTCTCATGTACTTAATCTTCTGTTGTGGTCTGATCTTTCCATTTAAATTCTGGAAGATAACGTTCAACTCCAGACTTGTACCTACCAGTAAGTTGGTCATTTTCTTATTTATTGTGATTTTTCAAGCTGTTAGGTTCAGGACTCAAACCGTGGTCAGTCATGTGGGAATCCACTGCTTTAACCACCACACCACCTTCTGGCCCTTCCCTTGACCTGGTCTCTTGGGAACAATCTACAAGAAAAATTACCTTCCTGTCCACACCAGTGTCCATAGGGAAATTAGAGGTCAGAGTAACAGGGAAATGAGTCTAATGAGCAGGTCGAAGGAGCTGTAAATATCTCCTCTGCTCTTTTACTTCAGAGTGTACAACTTTGGCCAGAAAGAACAAGGTTGTTTCTTTTGGATTCTCGAGTCTGGCTCAGGGACAGATGTCTGACTCTTCCTCACTGTCTTGCCTGGGACACAGCTTCAGCCTCTGTTGCAGACCACCTACAGAAGAACTCAGGCTTCCACACAGAGGGCATCCTCTCAGAGACCCCATACAGGTAAGTCAGAGAGCATAGCAGACACTGTGAAAGCAGACAATGGAAGCCGAGAATGTTTAACCCAGGAAAACTGAGAGCTAGACCAGCCCAGCCCACATCTCAGAGCAGTCTGTGGTTGCTTGTTTTGTCAATGCACTAAATCGTCAATATGAAATAGAGAAGGGAACATGGGATTCAAGAAGGCAAGGACTATGGTTGTTGACAATGAAATGACGGTAATAAAAGCCCAATTAGAAGAGAGCACAGGATGCGTCAAATGCTTCCAGGAAAAGTCATTAAGTCTAAGATATTTTGAAATTAAGCATGGTGAAGAAATGGAGTGTTAGGTATGGAGGGGTATGTAGCGAAGTGAAGTCAGATCTTCTTTCTTTGTAAGATGGGGTCTAGTCTCCTGTTTCCATATTAAGAAGATCCAGGGGACCAGCAGTTAGCGTAATGGCTATGTTGCTGGACTCCCATGTAGTCGACCGTGGTTCAAGTCCTGGACCCGGTGGCTTAAACTCACACTGGGTGCGTGTGCGTGCGTGCCCCAGATCCTGAGAGGAGAATGGAGGAAAAGGGATTGCAGAGTGGCCATCCCTGCTGGGGGGTGATTTCTCACTTTCTGTCTCTCTGTCTCTCTCTGGTTTTCTGGTGAGTGCACGCTCCCTATAGCAAAAACCTCTCGGAAAAAAAGAAGATCCAGATCAAGGACATGCTTGCAGATGGTACCTTGCACTCACAGTTCATGCGGCATACATTCCATAGTGCATTTTCTCACGGTGGGTATTCACATGAAAAATAATTAATTATTAGGTGGAAAAGGGTATATTAAAGCGCTTTACTTGGCCATTATTTTATTACGTGTGAGGCTGAATACACTTGGGGGTTTGCTAGCCATTTACTTTATTTTTTGCATAGGCTTTGTGCATCTTTTGCTTTCTGCAGTGTGTTCGAAATGATTTTATTCCTATTTAATTATTATTATTTTTTAGTTTGCTATAGAGCATGTGTTTTTGCCGGGAGGTGGGAGTTGAAGAGGGAGAGGAGAACTCCTTTGGGTGGGGGATGGTCATGCTGCAATTCTTTCTCCTCCATTCTCCTCTCAGGATTTTGGGCATGCATGCACATGCACCCAACCTGTTCCCCCTACCTCCATCCCCTTCCCTCCCGGTTTATATTTGACGTTGCCAGGTGTGGGACTTGAACTGTAAAATCGGCTATGTAGGATCCAGTTACCTTAACCACCACACCCCTGGCTGACCTAATTTTATTTTTCATGGCATCCTTTCATACAAACATTGGTGCTTTCTCCATCAACTTGGATCTTGCCATATAGTTCTTTTATGTATGTATGTATGCATAGAAGCATTTGGGGAGGAATGTGTGAAAGTTTAGCACTTTTGGGGTCAAATCTATTAGTCAGTCATATTATAGCCCCCTACCTCTTTTTAAAAATTTATCAGTATTTTTTTTTTTTTGGAGAGGTTTTTGCTATAGGGCACGTGTGCTCACCAGGCAGACAGAGATAGAGAGACAGAAAGCGCGAAATCACCCCCCAGGGGGGACAGCCACGCCGCAGTCCCTTCTCCTCCATTCTCCTCTTGGGATCTTGGGCACGCACGCACACGTGCCCAGCGTGAGTTTAAGCCACCGGGTCCGGGACTCGAACTGCGGTCGACTACATGGGAGTCCAGCGATATAGCCATTACGCTAACTACTGATCCCCAAAATTTATCAGTATTTTTAATGTAGAATGTTCTTCTACATCCTTTCTTCTCTGCCTTTACATTCTTGTTATTTGCTATTTTTCCTTTGACTTTCTGTGGTTACATCATTTTAAAAAACTGACATCACCTTCTGCCATTATCTGGAATGTGTTATTCTTTCCCATTTGATTAAACGTCACCTTCACCTTTCACGAGCATATGTAAATCCATGTATCTTTTTGTAAGATAAATTTAAATGTTTATAAACTGCTTCCTCACTGCATCTTTTAAAAAATATTTTATTTAACTTTCTTTCTTCCTTCCTTCCTTTTCTTTTCTCTTCATTTTTCCTCTTTTCTTTTTTTCTCTTTTCTTTTCTTTTCTCTTTATTTTTTTCTCTTCTCTTTTCTTTTCTTTTCCCTCCCTCCTTCCCTCCCTCCCTTCCTATCTCTTCTTTCTTTCTCTCTCTTTCTTTCTCTCTCTTCTTTCTCTCTCTCTTTCTCTCTTTCTCTCTCTCTCTTTCTCTCTTTCTCTCTT